AAGAGTCTTCAGATTTTAGCTCAAGGAAAAGATAAGATCTAAATCTAACACATCTACCGCACAAAAATGATTCATAGGAGGTAAACACAGATGGGCTTATGGATTGTACAAGCGTTGTAAAGGTAGGTAAAGCCTCTTGTTCACTTCCTCTTTACCTGCAGACACACAACATGTATTCCTCGTTTTTTTGGGCTCAGTCTATCAACTCAATTGCGTGTTTTTTATGTTGTTTGGTCATGTTTTAAGCATCATGTTACTAACTCCAACTTTTCTCCTTCTTTCTTGTGGATATCCCCCTTAAATTATATCAATGGAAACGTGGATCAATGTAGAAAAAGTAAATACAAAATTTTATGAGGAAATATTCATTTTTTAAAAAGTTATGAGAGGTAGAGCAGGACCACTTCTGAGTCGCCTTGGTTCATGGCATTTTCCCCAGCACAGGGGCCCATTTACCTGCGGCATTGAAGAGGTTGATAGCCATTTGTAAAAGGTCGGTTAAGTATCAGGTGGAGATGAGACATTTACATGAAAACAGCCAATTAGAGCTGGGGAAAAGCAAGAAGGATAGATACAGAAATTACTGAGGAGAAGTGAAAAAGTAGGACCTACCAGAGGTACCCTCCAGCCACCTGCGGTCAATTGGGTAAACATGAGAAAAACCAACCAAAACAAACCCAAACCATAAAATGAATGCAGCGACAGCAACAAGACGGTAGCGTTAAGAAACGTACATGTCATCATTCATCCAACAGCCCTTCTTAACCAGTTGCAGCGTGTTGTTGGAGTACTTCCAGGTGGCATAGCACAGCATGTGGTTATCCGGCTCGTCCAGCGACACCTTGTTGGAGGTCATCATGTTCTGACACACTTCCACTGTCGGCGTGCACTTGCCTTCATTGTAGCAGTCCATATGGTCGTAGAATTCACATTGACTTGTCCCTTTATGGACTTTTCCATCTGAAATAAAAAAGCATATTTCATATAAAAAGCGGGTCAACCGTTCAGAGTAAAGACTCTTTTTTATGGTTTTAATTTCTCTGTGTGGGTGTTATTATTATGCCCTAATCAACACAAGTTAGATCATTTACAGCGGTTTCACCAGCTGAAGCTGAAAAGTAAGGCAAATTCTGCAGGGGGTCTCAGCAGGGTCCAAGGCCAGCGTTTGTGGAGGTTCAGGGTGCGAAGCCCCCTAAGATATGGAAATTTAGTGCTTTTAGAGGGTTGAAAATGGCATTTGGGAGCCTGTTTAAAGAGACTGCCAGCAAACCATAACATTGATTTTTTCACCAACATTTTGACTTCTTTGATTTCTTCACCAAGATCTACATAATATACATGTATTTCCATTGATGGCAATGTTTAAAAGCAGGTTCCCCTTCCATTGCTACGAGATTTATAATTCAATTAATTTGTCATCACACCATTGATAGAAGGCAAACCTGGGAATAATGAATAGATATGTACCTTCACAATACAGTTACCCGGCGTATACCCAATTTTTCCTTAAATTTCACACCTGAATAAATATTGCATGTCACAACCTCGGAACACCACTTCGAATGTCAAATTATTCTTGACTTTAAAAATTTTAGGCTGGTTTTAGCATAAATTTCTTTCATTGCGGCCTTATCGTGCTCCCATGCCGTAGAATCTTCGTATCGATCATTTCTCTAGATCTAGACAAATTTGTAAAAAAGTTTCTTTCTGATGGTAATTTTCTGTCTAGGATTTCAAGTCAATATACTTGATCAAAGCGCAGATTTACCATCCGCGGCAACAATCCGAAGATAGACGGAATGAGCAAATGATAGAAAGGAGGAAATTGGCACAAAAGTTTGCCAGATTTTGATAACCCACTGGTAAAAATGTACTGCCGTCAAGCCCGCAATGAATGAATGCATAGGGCATAACGGAATAATGGCCGATTGCAGGAAATGCGCAATTTGGCAGATTTCTATAACATTAACTTATTGTCGAGAGAATTACCGTAAATATCCTAAACTTATACTAGTACTAGACGATACGAAGGCGAGTACAGATCTTTTGCTCTGGAATTTCGGCAGTCCTACGCTGTCGCAGCTTTTTATTGAGGGAGTTGATAATGATGGAGGAACAAGTACGGAACTGGCAGAAAGTACGGATTTCCGTAAAAATACGGAAGAGTGGAAGCACTGCATTTAGGAGGTGGGCTTCCGACCCTGCCGGTCAGAGCCAACACAGGCTGAGGGGGATACAACATTCCAACAAAAAGGCCGAGATATTCGATGCAAATTTGACCCCCGTGTAAGGCTCCATCATATGTCATATGTCACTTTTCAAGATGGCATATGGCATTGTGACACTAAGGAGTAGAACTGCATATTTTCATTTTCACAACAAAGAAAAGTAAGCTGGCAGAATAACTAAGAAAAGAAAAGTTCACAACCGCGGGTGGGTCAGCAGAGAAGAAATGTTACACAAAATCAAAATATAACCAAAAAAAAACCCCCCAACCATAAAATTATTTTTATGTAGGTGTTTTAACGCCCTCATCGACACAATTTAGATCATCTAGGAGCCAGGCTTTCAATGTTGCCTTTCAGGGTCACTACGAACGGCGACAGCAACAACATCTCAACAGAAAGACCGAAATCTTCACCACACGCGAATCCAACCTGCTTGCAACAAAAAGCGCTTTTAGCCACTTACACCACAGACACCAGTCAAATAAAAAAGACACCCACGATATAAATATAAACCCACAAACCCCATGATGAAAAGCTTGTGATGTACGCGGAAGTTGGGCTATGAAACAGTGCGTTGAAAAGCATGTTCAACTCTCAAAAACCAAGAAAGTCAATAAAAATAAAATAAAAACATCTTTAAAAATGAAGGCAAACTGCAGATCTATGTTCATGCATCCCCTTTAAAAAAAAAGACAGTTATCTTTGACCCCTCAAATATCAGCTGATGGAACAGGTAGCAAAATCATCGCTGTGATAGAGACAATTCAATCTGTCCGTCAGTAATAACAACATTCACTAAATTCCCAGTCAGATGCCATAAAATGTTCCCTCCAACATCCTGAGCGTTACAACAATTACATTACCATCTAAATGAAAAACCTGCCACATATGGAGAAAAATGAAAGACTTAGAATAACAGCAAACACTGAACCAACTCCAGACATGAAGTAATGAACCTTTAGCTTCACTGTCACATCTATGATCTTAAAAACCCTCCTATTAACAGTAAGCCACCAGATACACACAAACATATATATGTACACACAAATTGAACCCACACACATGCACCCTCACACACCGAAGCAAAGATTTAGTTTCACTTACCAGCGTGTTTAGGAAGGATGATCAAGACAACAAAAGTTAAACTGATCACCCATTGAAGTATTACATCCATTTTGACCCACATTTTCCTTGATAAAAGATAATCTGAGGAGGATAAAGAATGAAACAAATGAGCAATTCAGCAAAGAAAATCTCATTGAGAAAACCACTGTATGCCCAGAATGCAAAATGTTCAGATGGATAGAGCAGGGACAAGTTTTTCAAAAACTCTCTTAAATAATTGAAAACAAAAAGGGGGGATAAAAAAAAGAGAGGTAAAAATGCCCCACTTTTCAAGAGCAAATAGCGCTTTTATACAAAATTGAAATCCCGTGTTTGGAGAGAAGTTCCCGATGTGAGATGCTATTGTCCACCGTTTTACATTAAAAATAAACATTCTTTTGTTAGTGTTAAAACCTCTCTCATTTTGATTTTAAAGCACAAAACAGGGAAAACAATTTCTTCATTAAAATTTTGTGGTTTCTTTTTGCAATAAATCAACCAACTTGCTCTGCACATTACTACTTGATTGTTGGGAGGAAAAAAATGCGTTTAGTTTTTAAACAGTCTCTATTGTACTCCCAAAGGTATGCCAAGGTTGAGCACAGAGGAGCGCGACCGCCCCATTGGGAAAATCATCATTAGTGTAAATCAAAGACACATTTCTACATGGTTCAAAGTTGATCAGCGGATCCGCTGTATGCTTGGTGCGCGTTAGAGCTTGATTAATCGAAGGCTTGCGAGCAGGCTTGTGCTTTGCCTCCCACTTGCTACCAGGGGGAACTTCCGGTGTGTTGTGACTTGCGGACAGTCTTGCCAGGTTGCAAGCAGTCAAATCAAATCATAGGACTCTTGTTCTAGGTCCCGCCACGCAGTGACACTATGAGCTGGGACTCTCTCCCCCCCTCTCTCACTTTCTTCTGACTTAAATGGCTTCGCGGATAGCAAGCAGGGTGGGAGGCTGGGGTCCTGACACGAGTGGCTTCGCGGATTGCTAGTTGGTGTGGACTTGAACCTTAGACTAGACTTAAGACAAATTTCTCCCTACAAGATGAATAAAGAATGTCATCGTCATTGTCATAGTCAAATAAATTTATCATGCTGGTGATTTGATCTGTTGATTTGACCTCGTGATTTGAGGCTTGTGACTTGAAATAGGGGTTTGCGAGCACGAGCGGGATTGCTAATGGGGTACAGCTCTAGTGCGCATAGGTTAAGCAGGGCCATGCTGATCCGGGACCCGTTAGGGTTCCAAAACATACTAATAAGCGTGTGCATAGAATTCGGAACCCGGGAAAAAGGGTTTAAGTATCCACAATATCAAGGAAGTAGATAGTGAGATTGAGAGCAGAAAAGGCAGGCCTGTTGTAGGAATTTGATGGAGAATCTTAATTTGGAAAGTCAGGAAAGTGACTCGGATTCAACATCTAAAATTGTCTGCGACACACTGATTGTCACAATACTAAAAAAATACGCCTTTAAGCACCAAATTCTCCAAGAAAGGAATTCTCACCATGTCTATTATTTTATACTTGGTTAACATTTTAAACCTGAAAAGGAGGACTGGATTGAAATCTGTCCAGGATGTCAAAAAGACACATTCTGTCTCATTCTGACAGAAGAAGGAAAACTGAAGACAGTGTGAGCATCATTTTGGGCAAAATGAGTTAAATTCAAAAGATTGTCTTCATATTAATCCATTAGGATGAATATAATTACTTTAAAAAAAGAAAAGCAATGATCGGCAGTTGATAGTCATAAAATTCAACAAGCAACCTGGATTAATAATAAATAATAATTTTGATGACAAATAATAATACTATAATATTAATCTAATAATATTAAATAACAGTTCATTGACCAATGCCTTTTAATGATCAAAGTGATGCATCTGCATAGCAGAACATTTCTGAATAAACCAAGAAATCTGAAATAAAACAGTTCAGATGCACATGATGTGTAGCTTCTTCTATGGCCAATAAAACCAATTCCGTAGCAATGCCAATGAAAATGTAATTTTTCCCCTATATAGCCCTTTTTTAGTTGGTACCTAAAAAAGAATGTTTAATTCAAAGATACAACCACGCTTCTTGAATCTTAAGAATTGGTTCATAAATTAAAAAGTTATGGGGTTGTTTGTAAAAGTCGGCAAAATATGGATGACCCACATATAGGAAAATACTCCTCAAAGTAGACCACGCAATAGCAGATTCTGTCAGAAAAACGATGATATCTCAGTAATTAATTGGAGTGTTAGAAAAAAACTTGGCTACCCGATGTGTTTTTGGGAGGAGAAAACCTTATTCTTGAAATGAGAAGTTAAAACATCTCCAAGCAGCCTGTTCAACTGTTCATTTAATTTCTAGACTTTTTTGATGCCTCATATTTTCAGCTGAAAACTGCCTCAGAACAACAGAAAACATGAGGTTGCATAGCAACATAATAATTAATAATAATGGAACGTAACTCTGCTTGGCTTTCCTTCAAATCACTCAATAGACTAGATCTCTAGATTTCCAGTAGCCTTTCTTGTAGATACAAATCAATGTACCTTCTTCCAGTTCGGTACGACAGTCCAAACCTGACACTGTGATGACTGTACATACATAAAGACTCAACTTGTCTATAATATTATCTAATATAGGCCTTAGAAGCCTACTAGTTTTACATCTACCTACACACACTATGTGTGCATGAGCCAATAGCAAACTACGATACCTTGTAACATGCAATGGCATTATAATTTATTATAAATAAAAATCATTGTCAAGGTCAGCGTCCGTAGCTGCACAAGAATCTAGATCTGTCTAGACTCTAGATTTACTGCGGTAATAATAATTAATAGGTGTACCAGAAACTAAATTTTCAAAGTAGCTGTATGCCAAATTTATCTGTTCCAGTTGATTGAAAGGCCTATATCCACTGAGCATGTTGGTACCATTCTTTAACCTGTCAGTCAATTTTTAAGAAAATGGTAGTTGCTTAAAATTTGATAAAATTTGTTAAAGTCAGTCACTGACTGCATGCAACCCCATGTTTGACAGATCAAAAAAGAGTACCAAGTGCACTAAACATCTCCACATTAACAGAGTACAATCACAATAACAAATATATAGAGCCTATTTTTTTTCAAGACTGAGATCATTACAAATCAGTATTTTATCGCCTCTAACACAATGATCTGTCATTATGTCGACAAAAACACACAACGTTGACCCGGCCGGCGCTGCACCGGCCGGCGCCGCACCGGCCTCCGCGACGAGCGAGTCAGCTCTATACCGTAGTTAGTGTACCCCGCGTGCGGGTTCACATGCTTTCCGAGTCTCACGGAAGGACTGATGCAAAATAATTCCAAGTTATTTACTTTATTCTAATAGTAAATTAAATGATCTTTTAATTGATACCTTTTTTGTGCAGGTATTCTACATATTTTGTGTAAAAAATGATCTTTAAAAATTTTGACGCTATATTTAAAGGCTTTCTATTTAAAAAGGCCAAAAATACATTGCGGGAAAGCCAGTTTAAAGTTCTACAGTTCTCCGCAAATGAAAAGGCGGTATTTAATCATCCCTTGTTTCGCGAAGCATTTGAATGCACGCCTGTCAATTTTTGAACGGCCGACCACGCATTCCGACCGCGAGGGGCTTCGCTTTCCTCGGCGATTCTCCAGCTCCTAATAATCGGACATATAAACAATTTACACCATTGAAACGAGGAAGAACTGAACTTTTACAATGTGTGTATGGCATTTGGTGTTTATAGCGAAAGAGCAAAGAAACAGTGATCGGAATTACCCCGATTTTACGCGATCGGAAGGACGCGAGTGCCTGCGAGGCCGTGTTTACGCTACCTAATAATAAGAACGTGACTATCTCTCCGAACGTTCGGGAAAATAAACTTGAACTCTATTACTCCGAAAGGTTTCCGTTCTTTAGATTTTTTGGTTATTCTCTACAGTTCGGTGTCATCTTTCATTCTGCGAGGACTGAGAAGAAGTATTTTCTGCATTAGAATTCAATTTCTAGAGCTAGAGACTTTTAGATATCAGAATATTCAGATACTGAAATTGTGGTTGGGGCAACATTCCCGGACTATACACTTCATTTGAAAATGCCTTCAAAAGGTGCTGCAAGAAAACAAGACAGCTCAACTTTGGCAGTAACTTATTTTGCATTTAGTCACTCCAAAAGCAAAAACATTTCACAAAAAATCCCTCCACTTCACTTAACCCATCTACACCCCCCCCCCCCCCCCCCCCCAAATTCCATTCCATAGCTGCCACTTGGGAATTTCAAAAAAGGAGGAAATTCATGCGAAGGCGGACGCGCGCTCTCCGAAGGCCGGAGTAAAACCAGTGAGATCCAGAGGCAATACATGTTTATATACTGAAAAATCTAGCCTATGGTTTTGGAAAGGAAAACTGTCATATTTGTTAACCATAGGTAACTGAATTAAAATGTATTTGGAAAAAAAAAAAAAAAAAGGCACTAAGTTGACTAACAAGCATTTGAGTCAATTTGACACAGTTTGGACTTTGTGACTAAAAATCCAGTGTTTGTTGCCAGCTGGTGTCTTATAAAAAGATTTCTTCCACTTTAAATTTGTACATCGATCAAGGAGGCAACACCTTTGCCGCTGTACTGAGCACTCCTGCACAATTGCGGTCCAGTTTGCACTTTAAAACTTAGTAGCGCCCCTGTAGTGTGTAAATCTAAACTGAATTAAAATTATAGCCTAGGCTATCTAATCTTGATCTAGAATCTAGATATCTAAATATGTGTAAATCTAGATTATATCTAGAGATAGATTATTTATCTAGATCTAGATTCACTTCAACAGCCACAATAGCCGTCATGTAAACAAATGGGACTGCAATTGTACAGGAGTGCCGCCGGCGGCGATTTCTTTATCGCACCAAACGCAAAGTGCAGCAAGCGGCTTGTTCAATTTTCTAATGAACTTTTCAAGTCACACACCGGCTGCTTCTTTCTCATTCCAGCTCCTTTTATTTTTGCATTCTGCATCAATTTCTCTCGAATTTCCGCCGTTTTCAATGACAACTCGGCGCACCAACGTCCCGATGCCCGATCGACACTTTGATTTTG